TTTTATATATATATATACTACAACTACGGAACGTGGCGTGCCAACAGTTGTCAAAAAGTAATGTGGAACTAGTCAACACTGCATACATCCCTCTCTCGTGTTTGAAGCAACGTAGTTGTGATTTTTTCTGTTGATCCCCCTGACTGTGATAGTGTCTGATGAGTTCTTTTTTCTGTATATATTAGATATGTGAATGATTCATAACTTTGTATGATTGATAGCCTACCTTGTTTCGTATTTTCCTGTCCCCCCCCAAGCTGTGACTTTTTCAGATTTTCTTACTCTTGTAAGTCTTGATACAGCAGAACAGATTTTATTTTTTGGGAAAAAGTCATCAACCATCTCACTTACAAGCTTTTCCTCTGCCCTTTGAATGGATCACTTGGTGTCAAACACGAGCATATTTTGTCACCTCAGACTGGGAAGAAAGAAACGATACGCTGTAACTTCTGCTCAAAATGTCCTGTGTCAATAATTTTTAGTATAATTTCTTGAATACAGAGATTTCGATGCAAAGACTGGGAAAGTGTTGTCCTTTTTACCTAAATCAAATTGTTAAGTCGTTGTGAGAAGGAATCGCAGTATGTGTACTCTGTTGGGTTTTTAATTTCAAACAGCAGTATAGTAGTAGCAGTAGGGGAACCTGCACTACTTAACTTTGTCTGTGTTTGGCTTCTGTTGAGCCGTTAAGTAATTAGTCCTGCGATGTTTCTGTCTACCTGTCTCCATTTCCCTGAGCTAAATGACTTATTTACCCCCCGGGGCGGTGCCACTGACTGTAGAGTCTTTAGGCCATTCCCGAAGGGGGGACATTTCTCGTTCAAGCATAGTAGAATTGTAAATGGGCTGATTCGTCATGTCACGCTCATAACTGTGCCTGATCTACAACAGGGAACTGCTGCTTTTTCTTTCCTGATCCTTACTATTGTCATTTCCCTCTACTTCTTTTGTATGTTTGTCACTCTCTTGTGACCCGCTATTTCCGGGGTGCCTTGATGGTTGAAGCAGACTTTGTGCTGTTGAAGTTAGAGAGGTGAGCAGAGTAAGTCCGATCCCTGTAAAGACTTCTCTGTTGACACTCACCCCTTGGCGCTCATATGACCTAATGCAGTTGCGAGCGCCGTAAAACCCTCTACTACAAAAAAAAAAAAAATTTTAAGTAATTATTCCTGTGATGTTTCTGTGTACCTGTCTCCCTTTCCCTGAGCTAAATGACCTGCTGCAGCAACATGCTTCTCTTTATTCACACTCAAATAGTTCCGTGCGTCTCTGGATTCAAGAGATTTCGCATTTATATAATGGGATAAGAATAGGAATCAAATAATTATAGTTTTCCTTGAGTTTGACACTTTTGGTCTATTATAGAGATCAGTGGAGAGACTTGGGTGGCATATATAAATATATTATATAAATATATATATATATAATATATGCTGAAGAGTTAACGCTCAGGTACTACTGGATCGCTAACAACATATATATATATATAATATATCAATTATATATATATCTAAACTCTAAAACTCTAATCTGGTAAGAGTGAGAGAGAGAGAGGGGGGGGGGTTTATTTTTAAAATTATGTAATTGAAGCTGCATGTGGCTGTACTTGACATCTTTAGGATCAATAATCAATGTAATTATAATGAATAGAATGATGCCATCCATTATACTGTCTATAATTATGATTCCTTGTAACTGATAAAGAATAAACATGTTTTCCACACACATTATTTATATTGCTGTATCTTTTTCCTCTTTATAATTTCCCCAAATGGTAGTTCGAAGTTCCAACCTTTTTCTTTTTTTTTTTTTTTTGGTCTTCCTGTCGTTTCTGTCTAGATCTATCTTTCTTACTTTTAGCTTGCACAGAATCGTAGAATCACCTGTACAAACGGCCGCCTGTATAAAACGATTAAGACAATCACCTGTACAAACGGCCACCTGAATAAGACAATCACCTGTACAAACGGCCACCTGAATAAGACAATCACCTGTATAAGACAATCACCTGTACAAACGACCACCTGTATAAGACAATCACCTGTACAAACGGCCACCTGTATAAGACAATCACCTGTACAAACGGCCACCTGTATAAGACAATCACCTGTACAAACGGCCACCTGTATAAGACAATCACTTGTATACAAACGGTCACCTGTATAAGACAATCACCTGTACAAACGGCCACCTGTATAAGACAATCACCTGTATAAGACAATCACCTGTACAAATGGCCACCTGAATAAGACAATCACCTGTATAAGACAATCACCTGTACAAACGACCACCTGTATAAGACAATCACCTGTATAAGACAATCACCTGTACAAACGACCACCTGTATAAGACAATCACTTGTATAAGACAATCACCTGTACAAACGGCCACCTGAATAAGACAATCACCTGTACAAACGGCCACCTGAATAAGACAATCACCTGTATAAGACAATCACCTGTACAAACGGTCACCTGTATAAGACAATCACCTGTACAAACGGCCACCTGTATAAGACAATTGCCTGTACAAACGGCCACATGTTTAAGACAATCGCCTGTACAAACGGCCACCTGTATAAGACAATCACCTGTATAAGACAATCACCTGTACAAACAGCCACTTCCCATTTCCTCCCTTGTGTATATTTGTATTATAATAACACTATGTAAGATGTCTGCCTGTCAAGAAGACGGGCGGGCGGGTGCCCTGGTGTGGTTTGCTCCTTTTTTCCTATTCCTATCCAACATCTTCCATCCTTATCTTTCTTTCTTTTTTATGTTTGTTACTTTCTTGTAACACCTCTAATCTTCTGGCACTCATATGACCTAATGCCGTTGCGAGCACCGTAAAACCTCTACTAAACTAAACTCTAATCTTTGACTCTTATATAACCTTATTGTGTTGCAAGTGCCGTAAAACTCTTACTAAAACTAAAAACGAGTAGACGGCCGCCTTTCCCCTCAACTATGGATGGCCGCGTCTCAGAGAGTTTCATCGTCTGTATTTCCTGTGCCGCAGCCCTGACTGCCAGTGTTGTCGTGGGTTGTTGTTTTCGGGTCGGCTGTGTTTGTATATTTTTTTAAATAGTAGAGGTTTTACGGCGCTCGCAACTGCATAAGGTCATATAAGCACCAAGGGCTGGGTGTCAACAGAGCAGTCTTTACAGGGACGTCTTTACAGGGAATCAGACTTATTCTGCTCACCTCTCTAGCTTCAACAGCACAAGGTCTGCTCCGACTATCAAGGCTCCCCGGAAATAGCAGGTCACAAGAGAGTGACAAACATACGATGACCGTGCTTAAAGCCGGCGTGGACTGTATTGTTATTATTATTAACTGCGTTCTACTTATGAAGACTCCACTGTATCCTTTTAGCAGAGCGACCTCATTGCCAGCCACACAACAGGCATTCATTCAAATGAAAAGCAATACATTAAGAAATTTACAATCTTCACACACTTTGAAATACAAAGGATGTGACATTTTATGTCATCAGCACAGGTTTTGATACATGTAAGACAAATGCTTGCTGATGACGTTCGACATTTCTTTCATAATCGTCAAAAGCACCTTAAAGTTATTTTTATCTGACGTAACACCAGAAGGCAGAGCCATGAAGTCGACCAGAGTTTTGTGAATATTGCTAATTTTTTCAAACTTGCTCTTTTCCAAAGGCATGGTCAGTACTTTGCACTCCTCGGCAAACGCCGACAGCCAGTTGTAGTATTCCTGACTGTTCAGATCTGGTTGAAACACATATGGCGAGTCACTTAGCGAGGGGCTGGGGTTCGGAGCCACAGCCAAGAAATGTCCACCCTCCCCAGACACGTGCAAAACCGTGTCGTCTTCCCTCAGAACAACATCCTCGCTGCTGGCCGCAGCAAAATTCTCTTCTTTCATCTCCTGTTTGAGAGTGGCGCTGGCTCGGTCCAACATAGAAACAACTGGGGCGTGTTGCTGAAGGTCGTTCGCCACCCCCAGCAAACAATCGGAACCGCTCTCATGGAGAGAACCTTGTGGTTGCCGTGAGGAGACGCTGCTGGCGAGGTCCGAGAGTTCCACAGGAGATTCTGCAACTGGCAAGACTGAGTGTGCTGTGCTTGGTAAGCTGGTACCTTCTGCATTTGGTAAGCTAGTGTGCACTGTGTGTAGTGGTAAGCCAGTGGGTTCTGTGTTTGTTAAACTTGTGTGCACTGTGTGTAGTGGTAAGCTAGCGTGTTCTGCATTTGGTAAGCTAGTGTGCGCTGTGTGTAGCGGTAAGCCAGTGTGTTCTGCATTTGGTAAGCTAGTGTGCGCTGTGTGTAGTGGTAAGCCAGTGTGTTCTGCATTCGGTAAGCTAGTGTGTTCTGTGTTTGCTAAACTCGTGTGCACTGCCTCCTGTAACGCCGTGTGTTCTGCGTCTGCTGCACTGGCGTGTTCCCCGCCAGACACAGCGGGGGCGTGTTGCTGGTGCGGCGTCTGCACCACGGTGAATGAGTCGTCCTGCTGGATGAGCGTGACCGTGTCCTCCCCAATCTGCACACCCGCCAGGACTTTGGTGGCCAGCTCGTGGAGAGGAAAGCTGGGAGTTCCTTCCTCCAGCTGCAGCTCAAAGATCTGGTTCTCCGGGTCGTTCCCCACGATCTTGTAGATGTAGCCCGGCTCCAGCTGGGATAAGTCGTCTTCCGCGCAGACAGCGATCTCAGATGGTTTGTCACTGGAGGCCTAAAACCACGAGATGGGGGGGAAAGTTTGAGAAAAACATCGAAGTTTTAGTTTTAGGAGAAGTTTTACGGCGCTCCCAACAACATAAGGTCATATGAGCGCCAGAAGATTAGATGTGTTACAAGGGAGTAACAAACGTAAAAAAGAAGAAGGGGAGATAAGGACGATAGATGTTTGATATGAAAGAAGAAGCAAAAGAAGCAAACCACGCCAGAGCACCCGTCAACCACCCACAAATGATGTTTAAGGTCTGCTGGTCATCTAAGACCAAAAATAATAATAATAGAAATTGCAAATTTATATAGAGCATTATATCCACTTTATACAACATGCTCTAAGGGATTTACAACTAAACGTATTATTACTGGTGTTGGGCGGCTAGGTTCCCGATTATTGAAAGCTAGGACTACAAGGAGGAATCGTAGGAATCGACTCCGAACCCAATTACTTACTTTTTAATTATGTGGTTTTTTCCGGTGGTTACCTGGTTGGCTCCGCACATCTTCAGGATTTGGGATAACCTTGATTTCGGAACACTACGATGCACTGACGTCTATTTTTCAAAAATTCAAAAATAAATTCTTTAAAAAATTAAGGCGATTTTAATTGATAAAAGTACAAGTAAATGGCAACCGTTGGTTTACGTAAAAAGGAGACGGCCTTCCGTAGTATTAATCGTGGGAATCGACTCTTCGCCCAGCTCTATTTATTCCCCCAGCAGACCTTAAAACACTCAGAAACATTCTCGGCTTCCCAGAGAGCATACAGTGCAAGCTTTTGATTAAATATGCTGAAATGTAAATAACTAACAAACTGACAAAATCTTTCATTGCCTACAGAATAATAATAGATATATATATATATATATATATTAATAATAATAATAGTAATAATAATAATAATATAAGATATAGAACGATCTTTTTGTGTGTAATTATGTGCTATGTGTGTGCCTGATGTGTATAGAAGAGAGAATACTGTAAGTGTAAGTGTATTGGTGTGTGTGTGTGTGTGAGAGAGAGAGAGAGAGAGAGAAAGAAAGAGAGAGAGAGAGAGAGAGACAGACAGACAGACAGACAGACTGACAGAGAGAAAGAGAGAGTGAGTTCATGCCCACGAACACACTGTTATGGTACGCATGCGTGAGTGAGTCATGCATTGTCAGTAGAAACAAAATTCTAGGGGGAAAAAAAGCATTTTTTCACAAATCTGATAGGGGTTCTTCGACAGTAAAAAAAAAATTTTTTTTAATAACCACAGAGCCGTTACTTTATCAGAGTACTTGTCGGGTCTGTAAATCGAGTCAACGGGGAGTCAAAAACTTATGATCACAATTTCTCTACACACAAACGCACGTACCTGCGTCACGTTTTGACCTTCAACCAATAACTGGACGGTGCTGCTGGCCCTTGTAGCCTCCTGGACGCTGGACTCGGCGCGGCCGTCCGCCGAATGTACAACGAGGGCCTGGCCCGGAACATTCTGGACAACCCTCACAAGCTTGGCTTCTTTGGACCCGTCAGGCCACGACTCCTGCATGGGAGGGAAGACAATTTGTTACAGGAGGTTTTGTACAGGAGGTTACAGGAGACATTTTGTACAGGAGGTTACAGGAGACATTTTGTACAGGACGTTACAGGAGACATTTTGTACAGGACGTTACAGGAGACATTTTGTACAGGAGGTTACAGGAGACATTTTGTACAGGACGTTACAGGAGACATTTTGTACAGGACGTTACAGGAGACATTTTGTACAGGACGTTACAGGAGACATTTTGTACAGGAGGTTACAGGAGACATTTTGTACAGGAGGTTACAGGAGACATTTTGTACAGGAGGTTACAGGAGACATTTTGTACAGGACGTAGGCCTACCTCATACGGCAATAAAGGAGTCAAAGAAAACATTATTTCAAGGAGGTTAAAGATGATATTTTTAAAAGGAGATAACAGACACAGTGGTGCATCCAGTTAAAATGGTAACCTAACCGCTACACCACAGACACCACTCGTTTCTGTCTGTCTGTCTTACTCTCCCCCCCTCCACAACTAGATCATCATTTTTGTCTCTCAGCTCGTTTTCACTCTTCCTATGACACGGTTTGTGTTCCCTGATATAATATCAAAATGCATGTGGAAAATTGTACAGTTCCATGAAAATTTTGATCAAGTCACTCGGTCTTAGTTAGTTAGTAGTATAGGGTTTTACGGCGCTCGCAACTGCGTAAGGTCATATATGACAGCGCGAACTCGGTCTTTCTGCTGCGACATTGTATCCCTCTCAGCCCAGGTTGGCCCCCACAGGCAGAGCCAGAAGCCCGCCTCCTAAATTATCTAAATTGTGTCGATGGGGGCGTAAAGACAGCTACATTTGTGAGGCAGCGTGGAGAAATCAGGCACTCGTCAAAACAATCAAAGTGAAGAAACTGGCATTTTTCCGAAGGTTTGTGAACTTGTATCGAATTTTCGTTTTTCGGTTCAACACCTTTCATGTCCATTAAAGAACACATTTCTGTGGTGATTTTACTGAAAAATGTATTTAAAGGGACAAAAAGAGTAAATTTTCAGTTTCCATGGACTCTCAAGTTAAGGAAAAAACCAACTTTGGCGACCATTTTCTCACTAATTTTACATCTGAAACCAGGTGACCCCCACCTCCTTCATTCGCAAATAACTCGACTTCGATTCCAGGTAAACGGATATTGTTTTCATGCAAAGCAAAACAAATGAACAAGCTTTAAGTTGTTGTTGTTGTTGTTATCGATCCAGCAACATCTGGGCTCTCGCCCTTCTGTCCAATGCCATGTAATGATAAGTGCAGGTTTGCTGCAGTTGCTGTAATGTTGCGTAGAGTGTGCAACAAACTTTTTAAGATGATACCAATAATTCTACCTGCCCAAAAATTGACGAGAGCCTGACTCCACCCCGTCATGACACATTTTAAAATTTAAAAAATAAAAATTTTCAATTACCTGATCTGGCTTCCTGACGACTTGAACTTCGTATGACAAGGCGTCCGGCTCCGCGCTATGCTCTCGGACCAGGTGAATCCGCAAGAGGCTGGAGCGAGAGAACTGCTGGTTGCAGACGGGACAGAGCAGCTTGGTCTGGTGCTCCCGCTCGTGTCGGCGTCTGCTGGACGGGTCGCTGTAGCGCATGGAGCACACCGAACACTCATACGGCTTCTTGCCTGGACAAGCACACAAACACACGGACAATAACAATAATAATCATAATAATAGATAGCATTTGTATAGCGCAAATCCCCGCTCAACAGCAAGCTCTATGCGCTTCACATTCTATACTTTTACCCCAGCAGACCTGAGAGCCTTCTGAAACAAACTCAACTTCCTGAAAAGCATACAGAGCAAGCGGCTTATAGGCGCTAAAACACTACCATACTGACATGAGAACTTGAAGAGATGGATGATGGGGACAGACCATGAGAACTTGAAGAGATGGGTGATGGGGAAAGACCATGAAAACTTGAAGAGATGGGTGATGGGGACAGACCCTGAGAACTTGAAGAGATGGGTGATGGGGAAAGACCATGAGAACTTGAAGAGATGGGTGATGGGGACAGACCCTGAGAACTTGAAGAGATGGGTGATGGGGACTGACATGAGAACTTGAACAGATGGGTGATGGGGACAGACCATGAGAACTTGAAGAGATGGGTGATGGGGAAAGACCATGAGAACAGGTGTTTTTGAGTGTGAGAGCGACCTAGTGGAGAAGTGAGCAGCGATCTACGATTGTTCACGTCTGGGGTACTTTTCGTTGGGGTTTTTTTTGGTAAGTGTTTTAAAGCACTCGCAACTGCATAAGGTCATACAAGCGCGCGGGACACATTAAATATTTTCAGTCAATAGGAAATTTTGAACTCTGCCCGCGTGGCGGCCGAAGCCTACTCTTATTGATTTTGGACCACCAAGGAATCTTTGTCTTGCCCAACTTGCACACGGGGACCTCCGAAATTTTTCTCCCTTGTCCAAGAAGGCTAGGTGAAGATCTTTCCTACCAGAAGATCAGGACTACGGCAAGGAGTAACAGTAGAAAGGCTGCAGAAAGAGTAAAGAGCCCAGAGAAAGGGGTAAAGGAGGTGAGGGGGTGGGGGATAAAGTGGAGACGAAAGCAGACAACAGAAATTTGCTAGAGAGCAGGAAAGGACGTGACAGGAGACAATTAAAAGAAGAAAAATGTCCGTCGCTATCAGGGCTCGAACCCGTGACCTATTGAATGAGAGGCAAACACCTTAACCCTACCCGTACGTCGTGTTTTACTATCGTATCCATACGACGTGGGGAACTCTGTGCCACCACTTAACCCTATTCGTACGTCGTGTTTTACTATCGTATCCATACAACGTGGGGAACTCAGTGCCACCACTTTCCAAAGAGGAAATTTACTCGTTAATCCGATCCGTACGCTTTGCATAGGCAGTCTGTCAAAATTATTTTTCGAGAAATGCTGAAAGTTTCAAAGAGACCTTCGTACTAGAATTATTTTAAAATGTGAAGAATACAGCCCTGGGGGGTAAAAAATAACCCCAGGGTGTACAAATAGGGTCGACCTCTCGACCACGAGAGCCCCCGCCTTTTACAGCTGGGTTGCAAGCGCGAGAACGGAACTGAATCGCCACTCTTCCCTGAGGAACGCGATTCATGATTCACTTCAGCGGAACGCAGAACAGTATCGCCTTCCGATTCACTCCCCTGTGGCTGTCACCACCTTGTGGCTAGTTTGTAACCTTCTGCTGGGTCGCGGGTCGAGTCACGAGCGCAAGAACGGAACGGAACCTCTTATTTTACAAAAGATGGTATAGTCCAATCCCCCTATTAAAACAAAATGAACGGGGTCCAACCAATAGACAGAAGGAATTTTATGGAGCCATTGATGATACCAAACCGAGAGACTTTCTCACCTGAGTGTATGATCTTGTGGCGGTTCAGATCTGAAGCATGCGCAAAAGCTTTGTTGCAAATATCACAGCTAAACGGCCGTTCACCTGAGGGAAGAAAGAAGGTAGAGATCACTGGGAAGAAAGAAGGTAGAGATCACAGGGAAGAAAGAAGGTAGAGATCACAGGGAAGAAAGAAGGTAGAGATCACAGGGAAGAAAGAAGGTAGAGATC